GAAAGATCTATTGATTTTAAAACCATATGTTCTGTGCAGAAATTTTATGTCCATTCCAATAGGGATTTAATGCCGCACATCTACGTTTACAGTTGTAGCACATATATGTTCGTCGACGCTATATCAGCAAACACGGCAACACGTTTGATTCAGTATCTGCCTCGCAGTGCTGTGCACTTACAAAAGGATGATGTGATGGAATATAGAGATTTTTTACTTACTTGCATTTTCCGTCTACAGAACAATGTTCTTTCACGGTCGCCGCTTGATTTGACTACGACTTCATCCGCGCGTCGTTGGAATGCGAATTTCTCGCTTGTTGCCATTTTCAAAAATGCAAGTGATAATTCTTTGTGTATATGGGAACTCTCTCGTCTTTCTTCCTTAGATGGCAGATCTGTCGGAGGAAGTGCCGATCAAGGACGCTGCGACGGCAATCTCTCAGGGCAAACGCCACCTTCTAGTACGCGATTATAATCTGGCGGTGGTCGTCCTAGCCCAGGCCTGCGAACTTCTTGCCCAGGAGCACGGGGAGACGGGCGACGAGATGGGCGAACTCTATCTGCTTTATGGACGAGCCCTTCTGGGTCTAGCACGCGAGGAAGCAGGGGTATTGGGGGGCGGCGTGCCCGGCTCCGAAGAAGTTAGTCAGGACGAGCAAGGTGAAGAGGAAGAGGAGGAGGAAGAGAACGAGGAGGGGACCATCACAGAAAGCAACAACGGTACGGAAAATAGCCCTTGCACATCGAATGGTAAAGAAGATGATAAACCAGAACTGAAAGGGAGTGAAGATTCAAAGGATACAAAGAGTGAAAAGGACGAAAAAACGGAGAATTCTGATAAAACAGTCGACAGCAAAATCGAGGAAAAAACGCAAAAAGAGGAAACTCCTGGCTGTAGTCGAGATCCTGATATATACAATGGCGAGGCTTCTGGAAGTAGTACGAAGAGAGAGGAGGATGAGGGTGAGAAGGACGGGGAGGCAGAAGAAGAGGAAGTTGAGAAGGAAAATGAGGACGATGTGAATAATTTACAGGTGATTGATCTTTTTGGATGATTGCAATGTCGAGTTAAGTCGTACCGATAAGTTTTCTATCTTTTTTCCCTAAGAGTTTAAATAGTTAATTTAACGCTTCTCTATTGATAAGTATTTAAGTATCGATACTGTATTGAATCAATTGTGTTTAATACCTAATTTTTTTTCTTCTAGATCGCCTGGGAAGTCTTAGAACTGGCAAAACTGGTACTGCTAAAACGCGGATCCTCAGGCTGGAAATTGTTAGCTGAGGCATATCGTCTTCTGGGCGAGGTAGCAATGGAAGGTGGCAACCACGAGAGCGCGCTGATTGATTTCGAAGCTTGTTTGAATCTGCTGGAGAAAATGACTCCGCGCGATCATCGTGCAATCGCCGAGATCCATTATCAACTCGGATTGACTCATGCTATGGCAAACAATTTCGACACTAGCATCGAGCAATTCAATCAGGCGTCCGCGCTGCTGGAAGCGAAGATTGTGCAGCTAAAGACAGTGCAAGATGATCCACCTCAATCCGAGGATCCTTTTTACACTGTTGAAGGTGAGATCAAGGAACTGCAGGAGCTTCTTCCGGAGATCCAGGAGAAAATCGCGGACATCAAGGACATGAAAAAAGAAGCCGATGTAATCAAGGAGATTAAGGAAGAGAGGTTGAATGGATGCTCTAAAGATGGTGAAGCGAGCGAAGCTTCCGGAAGTGGTAGTAATACATCTAAACCTGCTAGCGATATTTCACATCTGGTAAGAAAAAAGCGCAAGGCGGAGGATGAAGAGGACATAGGTTCTGTTTGCAAAAAACCATCGCAAGAAAAGGACGTGGCGTGAAAGGTGCGAGTATCTGATATATTTCATGATAATTAGAATAATCTGAACTTTGATAAAAAAAAACTAGAAAATGTTGATATTTTTCTCGATGATGTAGAAGAATAGTATTTGCTGATGTATAAAAAATGGTGTTTTTTACGAAAACGATAGCTTGTCAGTCAGTGAGAATTCATTCCCAATATAGATATCAATAGAAATAATATTTAGGATATCCCAGAAATTGATATGCATTCAAAATTTTTGTCACTTGAAATCGCCTTATGATACACAAACTATATGAAACTATTTTATAACTGCGTGGTTCCATATTAAATATGAACAAAAATAGCAATTATATAATTTTATGGATAATATAGGAAATATTTACTGATGTGAGAAAAAATGTTCTTTGAAAAAGATTGTTTTCTGAAAAAGAGACTTAATTATTTGCAATACAAATAATCATCTCATCGTTAGAATACGCCAAAAGTTACATTTTTGAAATTTATCTTAAAACCTTTTTTATGATATAGTACAATGAATCGTTTTATGACTGAAGTTGATAGTAATAGAAGTTAAAAGGATAAATCCAGTAATAATTTTTATCTTTTATTAAACATGATGTGTACACATGTATGTGTGTGTGTGTGATGTGTGTATATTTGTGTGTGTGTGTGTGTGTGTGTGTGTGTGTGTGTGTGTGTGTGTAAGGATATATATGGGACAACCAATCATTTGTGTAGCTTATTAAAATATTCAATTCAAGTATCTCTCTCTCTATGTTGAATTC